GGACCTCTGCAGGCAGCTTCTCTCTCCTGAGACAGAAGAGGGAATGGACTCACCGCTGCGCTCGCCCCAAGTGTGAGGCTGCTGTGTGGCAGCTGTGTGCCCACTGGGCCCCCTGAGTGTGAGGCCGGTGTGTGCCCACTCACCCTGCTCCACTCCGCCCAGGCCCAAGTCCTCGAGCTCTGTGTGCACTCAGCCTCTGTAACACAGCTGGCGCCATCCCGTGCCACCTCCACCAGCCTCCACCCAGCCGTTCTCTCACCCCTGCCTCCCTTCCCTTAGTGCCGGCCTGCAGCTGCTGCACGGGTGACCAGCAGGGTGTGAGCTACCTGGGTCCCCAAGACTTCCGCGAGCCCCTTCCATGAAGGTCCCAGTCAGGGCTGAGGAGAAAAGGCCATCCAGGGCCAGCTTCAGAGGGACTTGACAAGGGCGGAGAGCAAAACGCCCGATGCCCAGTTAGGTCTGGATTTCAGGTCAGCAAACACTGGCAGCTTTTGCTGAATCCAGCCACGTGTGTGTGTGCGCCCGGTGGTCCAGGTAGACAAATGCCTCTCCTTCCTGTTCCCACTGCCCTTCTGCAGCTGCAGAGGGGAATGAGGATAATCATCAGCCCTGACTGGGGGAAGGCCCTGCACACAGCAAAGTTCCTGCCGTGGCCCATCAAGTGCTTGAAACAACCCCGGGACAGCAATGAGATCACAAGTCCCACCTTACAAATGGTGATGCTAAGGCTCAGAACTTGCCCAAAGGGACACAGCTAGGAAGCAGGGGGACTGAGCCTGGAACCAGCATCAGAGACAGCAAAGTGAGATAAGGGACTCGGGGAGCCCCCAGGAATGTCCAGCAGGACCCCACTCCCCAAACCCGCTGGGGCTGGAAGGTTTGTAAAATCTGAGTCATGGGCTCTGACCTGAGGAGCTTACTATCCAGCCAGGAGGAGGGACATGGTGGAGGGAGGCTGAGGCCAGGCTGAGATGGGTGGGTGGGTGGTAGACAGGCTGAGGTGATATTTCTCTTGGGTTCTAAGAGACAGCACTGACTACCTGGAGTTCTTCCAGGAACTTGATTTTTCCCATCGCGTGCAATGAAAGGTTTCTAAGGAGGGAGGAGAGAAGCAAAGAAGCTACATAGGAAGAAAGCAAGAGAAGAAACAAAAGGGAGAGAGAACCGCAGTGTGGCTTTCTGAGCTCCAATGACTTCCTCGTGTTCCTGCACCTTCCTGGCTGTTACGCCAGGGTGGAGAGATGGTCTGTGGGGCGCCAGGTTTTCATCTCTATGACGGACTGGCAGTGGGTGTTTCAGCTCTCACGACAACTGGCTATTTGTCACTTTATTTACCCAGGAGGCCCATGCAGGGGTGAGTCAGGAGATTGGAGCCCATGCAGTCAGAGTCTGCAGCAGCTGGCTGCTCCCTTCCACCACCCGTGTTCCCGTCCCCAATCCCAAGCTGGTCACCCCTGCTCCTTCCTCCTCCACACCCCAAAATACCAGTTCCGGAAGCTGAGATCCCAAGAGCACTTCTGCACAGCCCCCTCCAGCTCCGTACGCTGCTCAGAGCCTCAGCCTCAGAGAAAGACGGCCTGCCCTCCAGCCTGCCCTCCCGACCCCACGCACAGAGACACGGCCGGGGGGTGAGCTGCAGTACACAGCACAGCCGTGTCCCCCAAGAGACCCTGAGCGGCCTCCCCTACCTGCTCTTACCTGCCTTCCCTCCGCTTTCCACGCTCTTCCTCTTCCCCAGCCCCTCCCTGCATCCTGCACAGGGCTGCAGGACCTCACCGCCACGGGCAATAAGGGGCAAACGAGCCAAAGGCTCGGGCGGGAGGGGCCCACAGTCCCAAAGAGGAGAGAGAGTCAGTGCCCAGGAGAGGAGCGCAGGCCTGTGCCCCCTGAGCCGTCATCGCAGTGGTTCTCAGCGGGGGCCGGCCAGTCACCTATGGCACCTCGTCATGGCGTTTTTCTTTTAAGACAAAAGACATGGATGTCTGAGCTGTTTTCTCTAGAGTAAAATCTCAGCACTCAGGTTTAACTGCAGCATTGGCTCCTTGAGATAAACAAGTGGGTCTTGGGCCGCACGCAGTCTGGTACTTGGTCGCTAACAGGTTCGCCATCACCGACCTAGGGGACACTTGCGGAGGGGACCAGTGACATTTAACAGGTGACACCTGGGAAGCTCAGTCCTGCTAAGACATGAGAGTCCTGTACTATGGAGAACATTCTTCCTTCCCCAAAGCCAAGCGCGCACCCTACTGAAAAGCATGGCCTTATTTCCACACACATGTATGAGGTGGGCCGGGCACACTGAGAGCTTAAGCACAAGGAGAAGGCACTGCTGGCAGGGGCAGACGAGTCGGGGCTCAGAGCTCGGGGATACAACTCCAGCCAGGGCACCCTAGGGCCTCACGCAGGTGACTCCAGCACCTGCCCCCTGACCCGAGAGCGTGACACTGTGACCACAGCCCACAGGAGCCGCGGAGGGTGACCTGAGAAGGGGGTGCACGCCCACAGGGTCCCGAGGGCAGAGGCCCAAGTGAGAAGCAACCCGAAGGGGACAAGTGCGTCATCCTCAGAGGCCTGACTGTCCACCGTGAAGACAGGGTCTGGCCTCACACGGTGTGTGGCTCAGCCTCTCCCAGGGCTTCCTGCCCTGCACTCACACCACCAGTCACTGTCCACAGCTCCAGCGGTCCGTCAGCGTTACCATTCATCAAGGATTTGCTGAAACGAATGCTGGCCCTGTGCCCTTTACATACACAAGCTTGTCTAATCCCCCACCATTTCTATGGTTGGTGTCTTCACTATCCCTTCTCTGAGCTGTCTGAGGGGCAGAGGCAGGAAAAAAGCTATTGAGAGGTCCCAAGGGGTCGGTGGTAGCTTGACTAGCACAGGTGCACTGAGCCCATGCCAGTGTGACAGGGCGAGAAAAGGGAAAAGAGGATTCCAGAAGGTAAGAACAGTCTGTGCAAAAGCCCTGAGGCAGAGGCTCTGCTGTGCTAGGATGATGGGGTTCACAGAGGCCAACAGGATGGACTAAGCCAGCCAGGTAAGGACAGTATCACAGGTGATCATGAGCCCTTGCTGGTCACAGGGAGGGCTGCAGCTTTGATAGGTCCCCTCTTGACAAATGAGGAACCTAGGCTCAGAGAGAGCTAGTGATTGGGTAAAAGCCACAGAAAGCTGGAGTTTAGGAGCCTGAAACAAAGTTGTGGAGCCTAAGCAGGGCCCAAGGCCTTCCTGACTGCCTGTCTGTCCCTCACTGGGCAGCAGCAGTGTGGTCATGCTCAAGGAGGCTCTGAGGCGTGGGGCTCAGCAGCCCACACTGCAGTCCAGTGGGGCCGATGACGGGATGGAGACGCCTCCCAGAGCCAGAGCCCAAGACGATGAGTGCGCCATTCTCCTGCACCTCTCGGCTGTGAAAAGCAGCCGCCTCTCTATAACGTGGGTCTGTTTACTTGGACAGAGCCCATGCTGGATCATGAGCATCTCCCCGTGCACACACTGCAAAATAAATAACTCCATTTCCCATTTGAACGCTGGAAACACAGCCCACAGGCCTAGCATGTACAGCGCCCACACACCACAGGCCATCTTCACCGGGATGGGAGGGTCAGGCGGGGACCTGGGCAGCTGCCACCTCCCGGCTGGCCCCTCGCTGTTCCCCAGGACTGTCTGGCCTTCTGGCAGGTTCTGCGGAGGGTCCGGCTCTGCCTTCCCGTGCTGGTTGAGGAAGTTTCTGACATGGACCCTACATGCCCCTCAAAACATGACTCCTGGCGGACGGTGCAGTGCGGTGCTCCTGGGAGGTGGCGGAAACTACGGGGTCCACCACAGAAGCAGGTCCCCAAGGACACACATTTGTAGGGCGTGTTTTATCCCCACCTGTCCCATTTCTTTCTACAGGAGGTGAACAACTCCGCTCCATCAGGAGGGCTCTGTTGTGAAGCTCTACCTTGAGGCCAAAGGTGACTGGGCCACCCATACTGAAGTCTCCGAAACCATGAGCCACATCTATCTTTCCTCCTCCTCCTCCTCATCGTCGTCCTCGTCCTCGTCCTCCTCCGCTGTTTATCTAAATTGTCTTCTGTCACAGGAAGTAAGCTAACACAGGCTCTGCTGAGCACTTCAGACCTGCAGAGGTCTCCCCTGCAGCCCACCTGCCTTGCAGGAGCCTGCAGAGAACCAGAAGCCCACAGGAGAAAAGACACCCCAGCAAGTCATATCCAAAGCTTCAGGGCTGACAACTCTGATGGCTGGCTTGTCTGCCTTCTGAGACCCTCGTGTACGTGACTGGCTTGGCCCTCACAGCAATCCTATGTGGCAGGCAGGTTTCATGGTTATCCCCAGGTTACAGAAAAAGAAACTAAGGCAGAGAGGTTAAATGACGTACTCAAGGTCACACAGCTGGTAAGTGCCAGAGCTGGGACTCAAGCCCACGCGTCCACACTGCAGACAGCGTCTCTCTGGGCACAGGTGGCCAGTCCCCATGCTCCTGGGTCTCCCTAGGGCTGGTGCTCTCTATGCTGAGAAGATGCACCAAGGTGCGACCCACATGCTTTGAGTCATGCTAGCAATCACAAGACCACACCTACCACGCTGGGCAGCCCTGAACTGGGAGTGCTTACTTGGGTCCACCATGACCCCTTCATGCATCTGGCTCAGCCACAACTAAATCACAAGCTCCCTGGGGTTCCCCTATTCAAGTCTACTCACTTCCCACTGAGAAACACAAGGAGGGATCACAGTAACAATCGTAAATTTGGCCAAGTGAATTAGAGAATCCGTGTGTGAACACACAGATGAACCTGGCCAGTCCGGATGTCTGGACGCCTATTTACGGACCCAAGCCCAGAACATGGCGACACCAGGTCAGCATTTCCCATCTGCCTCCCATGCTGAGCCACAAGAGGACCGAAATGGATAGATGTACTTTATTTCTCCTTTTATTACACTTAATTCCATGCTTCAGTTTAATTAAAAAAAGCACAATAGCTTAAAATGTTGGATCTTGATGCACTATGTTATTCATGAATATTTATTACTCTGGGCTATATAAAATTGAATAATTATTAGCAATTAAAAGAAGGTGAACAGACGGCTTTCGGGAACCCTTCGCCAAGAGGAAGAGGGAGAAATACAGCGTTGTGTTTGACAGCCCTCGGCAAAGACTGCAGGAGAGGACGACGCGGCAGAGCCTGGTCTGAAGGCCATCCAGGCAAAGCACCTGAAGAAAGTTCCAGAAGGGTCTGAGGCAGGGACGCCTGACCTCAGAGGTATTTCTGCCAGTGGCGAGAAGCAGACTTGGTGTGAAAGGGATGCACTGACAACCCCAGGTTCTAGGAAACAATAAAGGAAAAGGTGAGCCTTGGTTAAGGAACTTCGCCTGCCTGTGTGTGTCTGCGTCTCGACTACCCACCTTACAGTGCTGTGAGACAGTCACACAAAGAAGCATCTGGCCTGACACACAGCACACAGTCAATAAAGGGGTGTCCTGTCCCCGCTCTTTCAGGATTTACAGGTTCTCAACAGCTCTAACAGCACTCCCATGGCCACCCAATGGGTCTAATACTCTCCCCAGGGGAAACAAACTCCAGTTCTCTCATTCAACCCTGCCCACACTTTATCACCTCAGCAGGCACCCAGCACACCGCTAGAACTCTCAGTACCTTTCCCCCTGGCACCTTCCTCCTCAGGCTGTAACCCAAACCAGCTCCCTGCTATGGCTTCACCAACCAACTACTCCGGGCCTGCAGAGAACAATTCCTCCTCTTATCTATTCCAAATACCTTGCTCTTGTCCTCAAGGTCTTCTCTGCAGTGATAGAACCGGCATTTTAATGTCATCTTTCTTCCTGGTCTTCCACACTGAATGAGTCTCTTGTTTTTTCTGAGATCCCAGACAAGAACACTGCAGACCTGGCACAGGTAGAGGGCACAGAGGAGGGCCTTGGGATATGCACTACTTCATTTCTTTAAATTTCAGGTAGTATTAATGTTAGGGGCTAGCATCGCTGGTTGCTCGCTCATTTAGAGCACTTCACCACATTATTACCAGTATATTTGGAGCACATCATGTCCCGCAGGCATGTCCTGCTGGGACAGACACAGCCCTTACTGGGCTCAGAAGGCCAAGAGTGGGAGCAGCAACTCCCAAGAACGTGCCCATGAGTTAGACTCAACAGGACCATCAAAGCGGCAGGTAAAGCACTTGCACACAGTGAGATAAACCCAGTCTTCCCTGTTTTCCAGCACCATCAGGTTCCTTCATCCTAAATGGTGCTCTGGCCTCCAAACCCACACCCTAGGGACTTGGCTACCAAGACAATTTAATTCTCACTCCCTTTTCATCAATAACTACACTCACCAACGCTGACTGAATGCTTGCTATAGGCCAGGTACATGCAAGAGCTGAGTGTGTAATCTCATTCACTAGCTCCCTCTGCAGCTTTGAACTCGCCAGAAATCACTTGTATGTACATCTAGTCTACTGGACTAGCCAGTCCCACGTGGAATCTCCTCACTTGGGCAGGGTTTTCTTCCACCAAAGCCTTATGCCATTGTCATGGATCACGATCCTGAATTCAGCTAACAGCAAAGGGAAGGAAGGTATAGGAACCCTGAAATTCCTTCCTTGCTCATTCTTTAAGTGCATTCTGTTGACTGGATAGGTCTACGCCCAGCTAAGAAATTTAATGTTGGCATCCTTGTGATCATGTCATGGTTGGAAGACCACTACATGTGTCCAACACTGACACTGCTCTGCCATTACTAGAATTCAAAGTCTGCAGAAGAGGGAGTGCCTACTGCTCAAACATATGTCTGCTCATACACTGTCCCTCCTGCAAGAAAGAAGAAATCTGGAAATCTCAGATGCAGCAATTTGGTGGTCCTCTCTGCTAAGCACATGCATACACACATACACACACACACACACACACACACACACACGCGCGCGCGCACACACACACACAGAATACTTTGTTTCCAAAATGGGGTGAATGATGTTGTATCGTGCACGGTTCCCAGAGTGTTGTACTCAGACACCTGGCCACTCTGGGGTCCTGGCTGTAGACGGGTTGAGAAAAAAGTCCCTGCCTCATGTAAGAGAACAATGGCAGATGATGGTCTCTTTCAGCTCAGGAGACCACGGGATGTCTAAGGTTTCAATAATGAAGCAGCTTCTCAGTCTGAACCCCAGCCTTTCCCTCAACAAATGTTTCTGCTGCAGAACGAACGTGCCAGGTTCCCAGCAGGCTGTGACAGACGAGCTAAAGTTAGAGGAGCATCCTGATCCACTACAACACTGAGAAGTGCATCAGCATTCACCTTTCAAAGAGTAGAGAAGCTTTTCTATTCTGTTTCTTCTTCAGTCCTTTTTATGGCTGTTTTGCATTTTTCCAACTTAAATGGAACTATCCTAATGCAGTCAGGACTGGAAAAACCAAACAATAGCCTCGGGACAGACTTTACAAAAGAGAAAGCAAAACAAGAGGAGAAATGGCCCGGAAGCAGCCAGCCCAGAGGCATGGCCCAGCAGCCTTTCCAAATGCCCCCGTATTGGTCCAGAACAGTGCTGGCCACGGGAGATGGACCTGGATTGTCACTACAAAGGCTGGATTCCAGGAAGGGGGTGACTGCAGCCTTCACTGCAGCCTGAAGTTCACTCTCCTCTCTCACTCTATACGAACTGCTGACTGCCAGATGGGCATGATTTGCAGACGCCAAGGGAGTTGCAGACATGACCATTAATTCCATGCCCCAGCCACTGAAATCTGAGCAACCAGGGCCGAGCTGCACTACGGAATGGGTGTCTCCAGGCTGGATGCAATTAGTGGTACCCAGAGGAGAGGAGCCTCATCCAATCTGGATGGAAGCAAAAGAATGTGCTCACCTTCAGTCTGTCACGAGACAAGAGAGTAAGATAAAGGTGGAATCCAAAGACAAGGTCAGGACCTGGAAGGAGGCAAAGACTGAGACAGAGGCAAAAAGAAACAGGGATGAAGAGAGATAGCCAGGAAATGCAAGCCCCGAGCGCACAGGATTTTGGAGTAACTGTCCTTACCTCGCTTCCCTTTTGCTCAGCTCACTCTCCCTGCAAGTGCAGCAGGTAGAAAAAGCCCAGGTTTGGCTGATCTGCTCTCTCCCCCAGCCTCCTGCCCTATCACAAGGGCCCTGGCTCTCAGAGCAACTTGGACACAAAAGGCTTCCAAGAAATTCACCTTTCACTCTCCTTTTCAGCACGCTCCTTCATTTCCCACATCTCTCTTGCTTCTCTTGTCCTTACTCATGGTATCATTGTTACTCCTTCTATATATCAACTTTCATCTTCTCTGTAAGACACAATCATCACACTAGCCTGGAAAGAGTCTTTTATCCTTTCACCAGATAAGAGGTATCTATGACCACGTAGGTGGAACATGACAATTCACAGTAAAGTACTGAATGCTTTCCCTCGATCTCAGGAACAAGAGAAAGAGAATCACTGCCGCTGCCACTGAACTGCAGGAAGTTTGTAACCTATGTAATAAGGCAAGAAAATGAAATGAAAGGTTAAAGAAAAGAGACACAAACACCACTCATTATGATGGTATGCAAAGAAAATCTGAAAGAATCCAAAGATATTATCAGCAAAAAAAACTAGAAAATGAAACTTTCAAATTCTCACAATGACATTCAAAACTATCAATTCTTAGGAATTAATGTACTGAAATATTTGTAATCTATTGTAATATTTGTATTTCACTTTAAAGCAATAAGTATAGAACACTGCTAAAGAAAGTAAAGAAAATTAAACGTGCCAGCTCTTCCCAAACTTGGTTTTATAATGAACTTCTAACCAGTTTCTTTTCTTTTTTTTTTTTTTCCCAGTACTGGGGATCAAACTCAGGTCCTTGAGTTTGAGAAGCAGGCACTGGAACCACTGAGCTAAATCCCAGCCTTAGCATTTTTATCTGGCAAGATTTTTTTGGTGTGGAAATTAGCAAGGTGATTCTCAAATGTATACATAAATGCAAAGGACTAAGAAGAGCCAAGATAATCTCAAAGGGAGGAAAATTAAAAAGCCAAGATTGAAAAATTTAAACTGCAAAAAAACCTGCATTCATTATAAAGCTACAATATTAAGACAGAGTGGCACTGGATTTAAATCAGAAGATAGCCAATGGGACCAAATGGAGAATTCACTAACAGACACACCAAATAAAGACACCCAACCTGCAACAGGGACATCATTTTAACAAATGATGTCTTAGTCATTTCCCTCCAGACACGCACAACTTGAGGGAGGAAAGGTTTATGTGGGTTCGGTTTCAGAGGTGTTGGCCCAGTATGGCCAGCTGACTTTAATGAATAAATAGCAGAGTAGAAAAGCCTGGTAGACAAAAGCTGCTCATGCTGTAACAGCCAAGAAGCAGGGAAAGAAGAGAGGAGCCCTAGAGGGAGATGCCCCCCTCCAGGTCACACCCATGACCCAGCACACTTTCCTAACATTGAGTTCTACATGAGAAAATCTTCTGCCCCTTCCTCACATCCAGCATTCAGCACCTTAGGAAAAGAAATTCCAGACAGATCACCAGCCTAAATTTGAAAGCTCAAATAATAAAGCTTCTAGAATTAAACATGGAGGAAAGACCTCGTGATATACCAACATTTTATAACCTTAAAAGAAAAAAAGATAAATTATATGTCATTAAAATTAGGAACATCCCTTCCCAAAAATATACCATTAACAGAAACTCAAGACTGTAATAAATGTATCTGGGAAAGAACTAAAACCCAGAATATAAAAGAGTTCTTAGAACCTTATTTACAAATAGACAATGTAACATAAAATAGACAAAATATTTCCTGAAACATTTTACTAAAGAATATATCCAACTGGCTATTGGCACATGAGCAGTGCTAAAGATCCATCAGCAACCACACTGAAAACCACAATGGGACGCCAGTAGGACAAAATGAAAAACTACCAAGCTTTGGCTGGAAAGTGGCACAAGCAGAAATCTCATACATTTCTGCAAGGAGTAAACTGGTATTACCACTTCAGAAAATTGTTTATATCTACTAAAACTCTGCTCTATGACCCAAATGTTCTACTCCAGGGTATATATTCCTAGAAGAAATGAGTGCATATGCCCCCAAAATATGTAAGAATATTCCTACAGCCAAAACATGGAAAGAACACAAACCCTCTTCCATTACACACATTAACGTGGACGTAGCTCCCAAGGCTATTACACAGAAGGAAGGAGAACTCGAGTTACATGTCAACAGAGACAATTTTCACAGACATAGGGTTAAATGGGTAAAAGAGACACAAAAAAGAACATACATTGTGTATCGGTTATTTATTGCTGTGTGACAAATTATTCCAAATTTGAGTGGCTTACAACAGCTATTGTTTTGTTGTTGTTGTGTTTTTTATTGTTTTTTGTTTGTTTGTTTGTTTGTTTTTGAGACAGGGTCTTACTATGTAGTTGAGACTGACCCGGAACTCACTATGTAGCCCAGGCTGGTCTCTAACTTACAGCAATCCTCCTGCCTCAGCCTCCTGAGTGCTGGGATTAGAGGAGTGCACCACCACATCCGGCCAACTGTTCACAGTTTCTGTGGATTCGGAATCTAGGTCAGCTTAGCTGGGTCCTGAGTTCAGGTTCTCACACGGCATCACTCACGATTTCAACCAGGCTGCAGTGATGGTAAGGCTGACTGATGAAAGAAGGTCTGCCTCCACTCCCTGGCGGACAGCCATCGGGCCACGGGCCTCAATTCATCACTGGACCTCGCGGAAAGGGCACCTCAGAATACGGCAGCAGGATTCATCAGGGCAAGCGAGAGGAGTCAGAGAGAAAGGGAGCAAAACAAAAGCCAGAGCCTCCTAGGAGCCAACGCTGGAAGTGATATCCTGCACTCTGCTATGTCATCTTTGCCAGAAGTAGGTCACAGGGCCAGGGCAAGCCCAGGGGAGGCGAGTGTGAAGGACATGACCAACAGAAGGCAGAGGCTGCTGGGTCTTTGGCAGAGTCCTGCCTACCACACTGTAGGGTCCGTGCCCATGAGTATTAAGAACAGGCAGGACCAGACAAGTCAGAGGAGTGACTACTTCCTGGGAGGGGCTGCTGGTATGGCAGAGACATGACTGAGTTTTCTGAGATGCGAGAAACATTAAAAAGCTGAACCCTGTTTAGGCATTGGGGGGGTAACATCACAGTAATCATACAAAACTTTACTGGTATGTACACTTAAAATCTGCACACTTTAGCTCATTCATACCGAAGAATTACTAGTTAACTTATTTGGACACACGATGTTCATGTATAGTTTGTAACATCAAAAACCAAAATTGCTGCAAGAGGAGTTTTTGCAGGAGCGGTTTGTGTATGTTACGGAAGTTAAGGTGGCATAAATTCAAGTTAAGTATTATAACTCTAGGGCATTAAGTATATCTCCATGGCAACAACAAAGAAAACAGCTAATAAAGTGCTGGGGGAGTATCCCTTATCAGGAATGCTTGAGGCCCCTAACACCTCAGGTTTCAGACTTTTTTCAGATTTTTTAATATTGCCATATACACAATGAGCTGTCTCAGGATGGGACCCAACTCTAAGCACAGAATTCATTTATGTTTCGTACAAGCCTCACCCCACACATTCCTGACAGTAATTTTATATAGTATTTGTAACAATTCTGTTTATGAAGCAAAGTTTCATGGTGTGGAATTTTATATCTGTGACATCATGTCTGCTCTCAGAAAAGTTCTGGATTTTAAATGGATGATAATGATGGTTGTACAGTGTATCATGAGTACATTTAATAACACTGTACTCTACACTTAAAATGGTTAGGACGGTAGATTTGTTAAGTGCATTTTACTATCATAAAAATACTTTTAAAATCTGTGCACTCTCATACGTATATATTCCATATAAATAAAAAAGTCGAGCAATAAACAGACCTAGTAGTCATCACTCTCTCCTCCATCTAAGGATCAAGGGATCACAGATGAGCCCGTTTCCTGAAGAGCCAGCTCTGAGCCTGTCGGCGTGGGGCACATCCCACCCATTCCCGTGGGATGAACTTCTCCAGGGCAGCGCCGGCAGAAGAGAACGCTCTGCTGCTGCAGGCATGGGATCAGAGCTGTGTAATTTGCCTGACAGTCCTGAGGTCAGGGCCCCCTGGGGAAAAGGCCTCTTGTATCTCACAAAGCTCTCAGAAAACGGTCTCTTCCCACTGTTTCTCTTCCTAAGTCCCCTTTACCTAGGAAGTCTATAAATGGCGAACAACTGAAATGCCAATTATTTCAATCCTTCTAATTCAAACTTGAGAAAGTCTTGATCTAATCTGCTCTAATTAAAAATGTGCACTAAGTTCAAACAGATTTTCCTTAAGTATGGGGAGAAAACAGAGATGGCACATCTGACCCACTGTATATTTACCTCTGACTTCACAGGGGTACCTCACTGAGCCTGAACACCCACCTCATGGGTCAGTACTATGGTTCATGCCTATTTTGAAGTCGAAGACATTTAAACATAGAGAATGTAAGCAACTTGCCACAGTCATAGAGCTTCAATAGGCCAGGAGCCAAACCCTTGTTTATCTTACACAAAGGCTGTGCTCTTAACTAAACTCACCATATGATATGACTCCCCATGTGTCACTTTAAAAGAAAAATAAAAAAGCCACTTAGTAGTTCTGTCTGTGCCAGTCATAAATGGTTCTGATAGGATCAATAAAGCAGGTCCAAAAGGGCCCCATTTGCTGTAGAACAGTTACTCTGAGTCCGGAAAGACAAGCATGGACTGTAAACACAGTTTTATGTGGCTCACTAAATAAAACCTTACATGTATACACACACGCACTGTAATCCAGTACGACAGCAGAGCTCGGCCAGCAAGGTGCCCGGATGAGTCAGGCTGCAGCACCCGGGAGACCAGGTGGAGACCTGTCCACTCTGTCCCAGGAAAGCAACACAGAGGCCTCGCAGGAGTCTGAGAGCCCAGCTCGGTGGCAAAGATGGAGAGCAGGCCTCCCGAGGCCCAGCAATCCGTCACCAAGTGGGCCCCCAGAGGCGCTGTGTGGCAAAGCACCTGCAGCTAAGCCAAGCACCTGGAGACAGTAAGCAGATGGACACTGGCTGTAGCCTACAGTGAGCAACACCAAGAGAAGACATGGTCGGGTTACTGGAGTTCGACTCAAGCACCAACAAACAGCTGAAACCTGGTGGAGCTTCTCAGGACCAGCCAGTTACTGTGTGCGTGTGTGCATGCGTGCGTGCGTGTGTGCGTGTGCGTGCGCGGGGAGTGTTATGTTTTAATGCTCGGTTGTTAGTTCACTTATCAGCTGACCCTTGATCAGGAAAGTCTGTAAGGCAGCTTTTTTGTTTTGTTTCTTGAGGCAGGGTCTCACTAGGTCATCCCAGGCTGGCCTTGCACTCACTATGTAGCCCAGACTGGCCTTGAACTCAAGATCCTCCCGCCTCAGCCTCCTGAGCGCTGGGATTGCAGACGTGCTCCATCACACCCAGCAAGATGGTATTTTTTAACTATATAAAATCTAATTATTAATGACTGTCTGTAAAAAGAGACTATTTGGCAGCAGGTCTCCTAGCTTGATCCTCGGTTAAAGCAAGATTATGAGAGAGAAGAGGGCTGGAGTACAGCTCAGTGGTACAGTACTTCCCTAGCGCGTGTGAGTCCCTGGGTTCAATCCCCAGCGCTGCAAAAGCAGAAAAATACCAGCGAAGAGTATCTTCTCTCCAGGCCCACAGCTGAGAGGAAATAAGCAGGAGGGAAGAAAGTTGGCAGCAAGTTCCCAAGAGAAGGGAGCAGGCAGATGCAGCCCAGGGCCACAGGAAGAGAGGCAGCCGAGGTAGCCGGGAAGGGGCTGCTGCTGGGGTTCCCTGTGGGGAGCCCGGGCGGCAGGGCTGCGCCCACACGGGCCTGTGCGTACCGGCATAACACGTATGCGGTGCCCCCACTTAGCAACACACACGCAAGTCCTCCCCACTCACCGCCACACCCTCACAGCAGCTCTGGCTACTCTCGGACGCCTTCGGCGAGGGTAACCAGGGGTGTTTTATCTGATAATGGTCACGCACACCCACACACACCCCCGGAAACTGCACGAGAACCCAGCTCACACCCGACGCCCCTCATCCTCAGCTCTGCCACCTCCCAGCTGTGTGAGCGTAGTCACTCTTTTAACCTCCCTGAGCCAATGGAGATTTTATGAGGACCACATGAGAAATATAAGATACAAGACGGTTCTCATTAAAATTATTCAACTGCCCCTCATCATTCTTGAATAAGAACAAAGACTCCAGGGTCCACAACCCATAAAAGCTCTCCGTCCTTATCCTAGGTGAGGTTTCTTCCAGCAACCTGCGGTTGGGCTCTTCATTCAAGGGTCCTAACAGAAAAATCTTGTATTTCTGCCACTGCTTGCTAGTTTGTTGGCCACCCAGGCAGTTTCAATCCTCTCCTGTGCTCTCCTCCTGCGGCTGCCTGATGCTATGATCCACAATCCAGTCTCTGTGACTGGGGGTGTTTCCATGGCGATGAGCAGTGACGTCATAAAGGGGGATTGTTACAGGGCTGAATGAAATCTGGCACCAGATGTACCCTGCCTCCTTACATAAGAAGGGAGGGCACATCCAGGACACGGGAAACGGAATCACTCGGGCACGGCGGCGGGAACGACCAGAAGGAAAGGAAGTTCCCGTCCCTTCCATCACACACCAGCAGGCCCATTTGGCGAAGAACAGATGCAACAGTCCACCAAGAAAAGACTCGCTTCTCACCAAAGGAAATCAAAGCAAGGAAGAAGCAGCAGTGTTCCCCGGAGACCACTCTCCTAGTCTAGGAAGACCTGAGCATGCCCCCACTGCACCCACCCACCCCAAAGTCTCAGTTATCATCTCGCCATTACCAGAGCTTGAGGTTGCAGTGTGCCGCTCACTGTTCCAAAAGCAGACTGTTGTGATTCAGGGCCCGGATGCAGTTAGAGTAGCAAGTCTTACTAGAAAAATAGCAGCCACCCCCAGCTTAATTCCGGGAGGAAATCAAACCATCTTGTTAGGAAAATTCCCAGAGGAAAAATTACATTAAGAAGCCCCTGCTCACGCTGCTTGCCATCTATGAACCATCTTAAAGGCAAGCCCAGCCTCGGGAAAGGGGTACCTGCCACCAGGGCCTGGGCCAGGGGCTGGGGAGGAGGTGCTTGTGCCTCCCGCAGTGCAGTCCTTAGACGTGAAGACTCATTCCTTGCACTGGCGAGGCCTGGTCAGGGAAATCACTGCCACCGGCTGGTTCTTTCTCTGCCCCTTGACACTGCGGAGTGCGTGAGGGACCGCCACCGTCCTTGCCACAGAACGCGTTCTCTTCCATGCAAGGTTTCCTTTAGTCCCAGAGAGGCTCTGGGAATGCGGGCTCCAGACAATGCACGGTGCCTCTTTCTCTCTCTGAGGCAGCTCGTTCTCCTAAATGCCGTGCTCCCAGTGAGTTAAGTCCACGGCAACAGCCAAGTATGTGTGCAGTGCACGGGCCCGCTTATGCCCTTCATCGTTATTTATGAACTAACTTCAAAGGGAAGTCGTTTCCACCTAGGAAACCTGACATATGCTTCTCCATACCACACATGCATAAAGATAACCGCTTTCTTGTTATTCTGGACAGCAGGATTTTCAGATGTCAACATGGGCAGTACCACACCATCTACTGCGGATCAGAGAAAAGCCTGAAGGCTCCATCCCCCAGGCACTCACCGGACCCCAGACATGCAGTGTTCCCTTGGGCCTCTCGGCAGGCGCTGTCCCCATGAGCAGGAAGCACCTCTGCATACACTCGCACAGCTCCTTCATGATGGGATCAGGCCCACAGTAAGCAGCCCAGCTCTTCCTCTGAACGTTTCCTTAATGTCTCCATCTCGGACAGGGGACCATTTTCTGTTCAGATTTGAACTTGGCCCAAATACATGCTCCTAGCAAAACATGTCAAGGTGAAGGAAACAATAAAAGCCAAGATCCTTGAGCACAGTGTATCTCCAGGGTAGACCTCATCTATTTTAAATTAAAGCTGACTTCTGACAGTTATTCGGGGGAGTCAAGTGACCAACTTTCCGGACCAGGATCCCATGTAAGGGTCCAAGATGAGCGATGTGACCAGGTGAGATCCCTGGAACTCTCAAGATTCCATTTCCTCAGCTACAAAAACACAAGAGGAGCAGGGAGGTAGAGTTAGTGGAACAGCACTTGCCTAGTGTGTGTGAGGTCCTGGGTTCAATCCTCAGCACGGCATTCAAAGAAAATAAAACAGGGAAGAGTAGAAGTCTGGGCTCCCACTCCGGCTCTGCATTCCACTGAAGGAGCCCAAAGCATCTTCACACCCTAAAGCTGGAACAGATTATAAAAGCACTCTGCTGCCTTCTGGGGGCGATCTGTGCATTTCCCCTCCCACGGACTGCTCCCGGCCATTCCAGGCTGGGGCACGCTGCAAGGAACAGCACTCACACCACCTCGCCCAAAGACGGCTGCCTCCTCTTCCCAATCAGCTTTCAGCCCCTGGGCCTGCAGAAAGCTCCTCTTGCTCCTGCCGGAGTGTCTGATCCCATTATTTTGCAAAGGCCTCCCTCTGCACCAGTGTGTTCTGTCGCTCTCCTAGACCATGACAAGTGCTGGGTGTAAAAGTTACCTTTGGAGAGGAAAGCGGACAGCACACATGCTCAGAGAGGCCTGGGGAGGGGAGCGCGCTGGGAACCTGGAAAAGCCCTTCATTACTGCAGTTGGAAAACCTGCAGGGCAGGGGTGGGGAGGAGGAGAAAACTACTGCTTTGTTCTCCAGCAACAAGCAAGTACTACAAGTCTCTCCTAGTTTCTCAGCAACCAAGAAAAAGCATTTCAGAGAGTAAGGGGTTAAATGGACAAACAGAATTAATTAGATATTTCCGGGGTCACTGCCATCCGTGGCTTGGGTAGCCAGTCTTCCTGCTCGTGGAAGGGGCTTCCTACCCAACCTCAGCTTCGATCCAAGCAAATCTGGGGAGCTGGGGGAGATGGGAGCCACATGACAGTGTCAGGCACCAGCGGGGTGGGCAATAGCAGGAACCCCGTCTCCAAGAAGCTAAATCGAAAGACCTCTGAGGTCTCTCAATTCTCAACGTTTGGTCAGTTTTGCTCCATGAGGTAGGAAGCAAGTCCCCACTCCAGCCTTCTGCGTTCCCCTCCATCCTGCAGTTCCCCTTCCTGTATCTGAAGCAGGCAGCTGCCCATGAAAACAGACTGAGGCTGGGGAGTCTGTATGGGAAATCGGATGTTTTGATGGCGCTTGCGTTTTTCCCTTGCTCTGCTTTGCTTCCCCCGTTGGCTTCTTTTAATCACAGCAGAACCCCGCTGGCCGCTCTGATGATGGAGAGGATGGCCACTGTGCAGAGCATGGTGGAGAGGAGGAGCAGGGAGAGGCGCTGCCGGGGACAGGCAGAGGGAGAGGAGGGCGGCCCGCAGCTGCCAGAGCTGGAAAGAGAGGCTGCTGTTCCAGCTACAATGAGCTGGGCACACCAGGGAAGCCACTGCACCTATCTGTCCATTGTTCCTTCTGAGAAGCAGGGAGAATGAGTTGGGTAGTGTTCCAAGAAGGATTGGTGCCACTGCTAACTACGCCCGTGCTCGAAGTAACTACAGGCTGCTCACTGCGTACAAAATACAGTGCACAGGGTCCCTGTGACCTGCCCCTCACCTCTGCCTCTTCCAGTTTTATTCTCTCTCCCTCCCCCTCCCTCCCTCTCTCTCTCTCTCTCTCTCTCTCTCTCTCTCTCTCTCCCACCCCTCTC